GCGTTCAATGATACAACTGCAAACTCACAAACGATGTGGGGTCGAATATGTGGAAATATGCTGAAAACACAATATCGAATTATATCTTAAGCTCCGAGGCGTGGTCTTCCATACATTCTCCATTCGAGTTCTTCGCCTAATTATAATAGTTTCTTTTCATTGCGCATTCGCTGGAACCACTTGTTAAAAGAGCTAAACTGTACGTCTTTATTTTCCCGATTTCCCGGGAATAAACCTCTATCATAAAATGACCCTCTATTTGCCCCCGGTCTCGCTTACCACGGAGGCCAGCGTTAAATATATGCGTACTGCTGTCGGTCAACCGAGGCGACTTTCCTTCCTCTTCACCAAGTGGCATTTGGGAAAATATAGTAATGCAAACTTTAGATCAACTTGAATATAACGGCCATGGATGTGCTGTGGATGGTGGGAAAAGCGCACGACATTGCCAACTGTGCAGGACTCGTGAAGGACGACAGACACGCATTCGCCATTTCAGACATTGTTTGCATCCTTCGAAGACTAACCTAAATAATCTGATTTATGTCGAAACACATCTCTTCAAGACCCTGTCACATTAGCCGACGGTGTGAGACCGACCACGCCCGTGACCTGACGTGGCGCGCCGCTGTGCGTGATCTGCCAATGCTTGAACTGGATATGCAAACCGATCAAAAGAGATCGATCACATGCTTTCTAAGCTGGACGGCAAAAATTGGTCTATAACTGCATAACTGTTCAAAGAATATAGATTGTACCATGTTTTTCAGACAATGAGATGAAAGGCCATCCTCGGGCCCATGAGGTGAAGTAAGCACGAGTGTGCCCGGTTGACTTAAAATATATTGACCCATGTCTCAAAACAATACAATAATTTGGCTCTTCGATGCACATCTCCCAAACCTTACGTTCCACAGAACTGCTTCCGCTAGAAGAAATAGAAGAATAGTTTCGCGATATCATTGCATATTTTCATCTAGTCCTAGTACCTTATAAGTAAGCTGCTCTGCTCTAAAACTTTTAAAATGGTGTTTTCGCAGTAGAGGTATCCTATACATGTGTTGTCGTCTAATTTGAAGGCTGTGCCGTGTTACGCTCCCACCGTTTTGTCGTGGTATGACCCTCCAAGAACAGGCACAGCCGCGCTGCAACGCTCACGTGTCGCATATGTTCCAGCGCAACGCAAGTAACTACAACAGTAGTGAAACAACTTTAACGTTAACATCCTTTCCTGCCAAACTCAAACCAAACTCATGTCAATTCGCTACGTTAATATTCAACGCAAGGGGAAGCAGCGAACATGCAACCCGCTGTCCTGGCACCGGTCCAAATTCAATTCACGGGGCCGCGCCCAGCCTCTTTGTCAAGGTCAAGACCGTGAGCGCGTATAAAACCAGGCCGTTCGCCGTTCACAGCATCAGTCGACAAGACCAACGCTACAAACATGAAGGCAAGTACCAGCACGCTCGTGCAAAGCTGCATGCTCCAACCCCAATGATCAGCTTTCTTTTGGTTAGTGGTACAATACCACTTCATATCTCAAAACCCACTAGAAGAGAACCACAGATGAAACAAGATGGACTTGTAGGAAATGACAGCATTTTTACTTCCACAGGTGTTCATCGCTGCCGCTCTGCTGGCTGTTGCCTCCGCCGCTCCTGCCAACAGCTACGCCCCGCAGCCGGCGTACTCCCATGGTCCGAGCTACCACCAGTCGTCCTACAAGGAGCCAGCCAACTACGACACGCCCTACCAGTTTGACTATGCCGTCAACGACCACTACTCCGGTGCCGTCTTCTCTCAGAACGAGAACAGTGACACCAAGAATGTGAACGGCTACTACTCGGTCAACCTGCCCGATGGCCGTACCCAGCACGTCAAGTACATCGCTGACCAGCACGGTTACGGAGGCTACAACGCCGAGGTGACCTACACTGGAGAGCCCCGCTATGAGGAGCACAAGCCTAGCTACCACCCGGCCCCGGCCTACAAGCCCGCTCGCTCTTATGCTCCGGCCCCGGCATACAAGCCTGCTCGCTCGTATGCCCCCGCCCCAGCGTACAAGCCTGCTCGCTCTTATGCCCCTGCCCCGGCGTACAAGCCTGCTCGCTCGTATGCCCCTACGCCGGCCTACAAGCCCAAGTACTGAATACCTAGTGCTCTGGTGTGAACAAATATTTATAATGTAAGTCTGTTCGTGTGAAATTTGACATTCATGTCGTGATGACCGCCAATAAATTACTGTACCATAAAGGGAGCGTAGTTTTGCTTCAAACACGAGAGGAAACGACGACATGTCTGCAGAAGACCTTTTCCTAGGCGTCCCCCATCTTTGGATTAGACCTGGCCATCTAAAAAGTATGCACGCGCGAAACCGCATTGGATGCGAAGGCTTGTGTCTAGTTCTGAAACGGGATCATTGCTAAAAGGTCGATGAAGCACTCAGCCAATCATTGAAAGCGGCGAAAACATGAGCCATTTTGCCGATCAAATGCATGACTCGTATTTTTTGCGCTTTGAATAATCCGAGATATCAAAGGTATCGGAAGAAGAATAAGTTACCAAGGATGAGAAGAAACGACTGTGGTATTTAAGTTTTGTAAAGATAAGCTCGCTGCTTTCGCAAAACAGCCCACCCATCTCTTTTGAGCCTGTGATATCGCTGGTGACATTAGAGATTTGTCATTTGCAGCTATAGCAAGAATAGTTTCCTTGAGGCTTTAAAAACGCTTAACACCACTACAACAGCGTTGTAAATCTAGAGAGCAATATTTCAACGCTGGACAATCACTGACTTTGTCATGGTAAGCAGCTAGTGGGTTACGTAAAAAAGAACGCCTTAAATGATGTTCACGAGTCATTGATACCATTCCTTTGGTGCGTATGTGATACCGTCGAATCACTGATATCATTCCTTTGGTGTGTAAGTGATGCTGCCTAGTCATTGATATCATTCCTTTGGTATGCTTCATCAGCTTCGGCGTATGACTAAACCGCAAGAAATCGGTTAGCGCTATGTGCAGCGTTTGTTTCTGGTTCTTATTACAGCATCACCATGGATTTACACGTTCTTCAACACAAGATTAAATGCAGGACTTCCGGAACTGGTGACAGCCACCTCACAGCACGGAGACGAACGCAGGGCGGTGGGGGAAGGGGGTAGGGGGCGGGTGGTCACTGATCGGTTTCGGTCAAGGTTGCAGGTTATTTAATCCATCGTACAAGAGGAAAACTTGATTTTGTGTCCATGTACCGTGTATAATTTTGAAGAACCCACTAGCCAATTTAACTCACGGTAAAGTGTTCTGTCTGCTTTTAAAATACACACCAAATCTTAAAGAATTCGTTCTATGATTACCTGGCAGCAACTTTAACGAGACTAATGAGTAACTACAGCAGTGTAGATCTTTGGGGTAGCATCATGTACTTTGCGATCTACGGTTACAGAAATGTGCGAGATGTGATTCTTGTTCAGGTGAGGAGTGTGAGATAATAAAGACGTTTGTGGCTAGCGGAGCTGCTGAAGAACCACAAGATGCTCGTAAATACGATGCCGTGATGTTTCAGAAGTTTAGATCAGAGCAGTTTCGGCCGGTCATGACCATTTCAGGGGTATCGGATGCCGGAGAACAACGGTGCAGGATGGATGGATGGAGAACGGTGCTGCTCGCTCGTATGCCTCTGCCCCGGCGTACAAGCCTGCTCGCTCTTATGCCCCTGCGCCGGCCTACAAGACCAAGTACTAAACACCTAGAGCTTTCTGGTGTGTGAGAGCCCATTTATAATATGAAGCGAAATTGCTCTCGTGGAGTCTTATCTGAAGTGTTGCGATGCTAAAAGCAATACGTTGGTGCACAAGAGAACGGACGTATTCGTGACTACAAAAGTAGAGGGATCGACCGAATCCCAACGGAAATGCAGATGATCATGAGACCCCGGCCCCTCCACCGCTGCAGAGACACCCTCATGTTAATACCGTCATTAGTGACTGAAACGTTTAAGGCTGTGGCACCCCTAGGTAATAAGTTTGTTGCTCCATACTGTGTTGATGTCGTGGTTGATATATGACACTTTTGCTCAAGGCCATCATTTCACATCAGGCATTCTGTGCTAACTATGTCTGCTTGACTGTATTTGCATTTGTTAACGGTAATTGTATTTCTGTTGGTTTGAGGTCCATGATTCACAATGTGATATGCCCATATGAGGTGTGCTTTGCCCCAATGACATAGCCATGTTTGATGCATGATTAGAGTAGCCATTGTGCTTATTTGTTTTCTGTTCTTCATCACTGCCTTTTTGTGCCATTGCATTTCCACTATTATCCACACTGTCACTAGTGCGACCCTCAAGTCACTGACCACTAGCGGCCAGTTCCTGGATGCCGCTACGTGCCCGCTGCCAAATTTAGCCTGCTGCTTCCGGTGACTTTTTCTGACATTATTTAATCAACCTTTTCAGCTGGGACATTGGAGGTGGGCTGCTGAGCAGTTGCTGGTATTTTTCCTCTATCCCTTTCAACCCTCATGCCATGCCATTGTCCAGTTCTCACCTACTCTTTTCCTTCACGCACACATCTTACTTTCACTTGCTCAGCTCCTGCACACAAATGCTCAAAACTGTCATTTAAACTATATCCTAGCATTGAAACGTGCCTAATAATCAATGGGCTGGAAATCAACCCAGGACCACCAGCAACTAAGAATGTCACAATATCACATGTCAACATAAACAGCATCACATCTCCACGACGCCTGGACGAACTTGCTTTCTTTACCACACATAACAACATTGACATCCTGCTTCTGACTGAAACCAAACTTGACTCCAGGTCCATCCTAGCTTGAACAATTTACACGACAACCACAACCCAATGACAAAGCACAGGCCTCGACATGGAGGAGGAGTAGCAGCATACTTTACATCAACACTCCCAGCAAAGAGACTACCTGATCTCGAACTGGAAGGAGTTGAATGGGTGTGGTCCCTCGCCAAAATCAAATCACAAGTTATTGTGGTCTGCTATGTCTATGTCCCACCCAATCTCTCTAGCAGTCAACTGACAGAGTTTTTAGATATCTTGTCAGACAGTGTTGGCATGGCACATACATATCACCGTGCATCGATAGCGATATTGGGAGATTTTAATGCTGGTAATAACTATCTAACTGAAGCTCACTACTAAACACAGTGATATCTTTCCATTTGAAGTCAGTCTGAAACACACAGTTGAATCACTCCATCTGACACAACTCATTGATCAGCCAACACGCTTTACACAAGACACAGCCAACTTACGAGACTTAATACTGACATCGAACACAAACATCACTGCAGACAGTGAGGTTCAACCCCCCGCCACCCCCCTTCACTACTAGATCACATTCCTACCTTTGTCACTATCAAGGTTGCATCACCACCCCTAAAGCATCAACCAAACAAGTATGGGACTACACAAGCATGCATGCAGACAAACTTTCACAACTTCCGGTAAACGCAGACTGACAAACAGAGGAGTACTGACAGAGGATGAAGTACTGAGGGCACTCAACACTCTCGATCCAAACAAATCATGTGTTTCTAGCAATCTCCCAGCAAAATATTAAAAACTACTGCCACATTGATGAAGGCTCCACTCATTAAAATATTCAACATGTCACTAAGCCAAGACATTTTTCCTTCCACCTGGAAAGACGCAAATGCTCATCCCATTTTCAAAAGCAAAGGGTCAAGCTCGGATACTGATAACTACAGACCAATCAGTGTACTTCCTTGTGTGTCAAAACTTCTTGAAAAAATCGTATTGCATAATATATATGAACACTCAACTGAGAATGGGCTGCTCTCTGAAAAATAAAGTGGATACCGTCCAAAACATAGCACACAAATTCAGCTGCTATATTTAATGAATCATCTTGATGCAGCACTGGACCGAGGCAATCACATTACAGCCATTTACGTGGACATTAGTAAATATTTGGCAAGATATCGCATGAGGGCCTGCTTCTCAAGTGCAAGAAATATTGTGGTTTATCAGGAACTCTTCTAAATTGGCTGGAATCGTATCTCTCAGACCATAAGCAGATAGTTAAGGTAGGCAACAGTTTCAGCACGCCTAGGACCATACATGCTGGGTGCCCGCAAGGGCATACTCTGGGACCTCTCCTTGCGCTTATATAGCTTAAAGACCTAGCCGACAAGACTGATAATGACATATTGTTCTTTGCCGACGATACCAGCTATACACATCTCACTCACATGACCCAGTTACCATATGGAGAGCAAAAACACTTCGTACTGAACTGTCCTCGCTATCATGAAATTCGAATTGCAATGCTACGTAAAACAGATAGTATCATTCCAAACGTTTTTGAGCTCACTCATAACGAGCAACTAGGTATCGATCTCACAGGTAGCGGTTTACAGGATCGCAATCGGCAGCATACAGCACAATTTTTCCACACATTTCTTTTTCAGACCAAACCATTCGCCTAAAAACTTCCAGCGGGTGCGGGCAGCAGACGAGCTAATGGGTGGCGTTGTCGGGCCGGGCGCCCGCCGCCGGCCCGAGGCGGCTATATGTGTAGGCTGGAGCGGCGGCGGGCGCCTGGCCCGTGTCGGCTTACGGATCGGGTGGGTGGGTAGTGTGTCGCGGGTTCCATGGCGGTGATGACCACATCTTGCTATTGTTAGGAGAGGTGTTCAGATTTAAGTGTTCCGCTTGTGCCCCAATCCACTCATCATATTATGAGTAGGAGTATTATACTGCTTAATGTCCATAATCGAAAATAAACGACAATCAATTCAAAAGGACAAATATCGAAGGCCAAAATCCCGACATTGCAAAGAAATTGAAGCAATCAATGGAACACCACTCATCGAGACCTGACAAAACTGAACTAGGAAGTCTGCGCAGAAAAGAAAATGTGATCTTTGGCAGCCCGATGAATGACGAAAAGACAAAAGGGAAAAATGTTTTTGCCAAAGAAGCTTTCATTTCGATGACAACGAATGTAATGATCCTGCCTTCATATAAACTAAGCAATAAATATGGCGCAGGCACATCAACTTATTTTCATCAATGGATCCTCTCGATTCCTATTTTAAAACAATGAAAGCATTAAATGATTAGTTTCATTAGATTCAAAAATCACGCTCATGAAACAGTGGAAGGTATGGAGCAATAATCCGTGGTGAGGGATTCCAGTGCCCTCTAAATATGCTCGCATTTTAAACATTCTGAATGGAGACTTTTGAAGCGACGTACAAACTAATGACTATCACTACAGATAGACTCCGGTGCCGTGTTCTCCCAGAACGAGAACAGCGACACCAAGAATGTCATCGGCTACTACTCGGTCAACCTGCCGGACGGCCGTGCTCAGCACGTCACGTACGTCGCTGACCACGACGGTTACGGAGGCTACATCGCCGAGATGACCTACACTGGGGAGCCCCGCTATGAGGATCACAAGCCTAGCTACCACCCGGTCCCGGCCTACAAGCCTGGTCGCTCGCATGCCCGTGCGCCGGCCTACAAGACCATGTACTAAACACCTAGTGTTTTCTGGTGTGTGAGAACCAATTTGCCAGGTGAGACCACGTTGTTTTTGGAGAGTCTTGTGTCAAGTGTTGTTATGATAAAAGTAATACATTGGTGTACAAGAAAACGGACATATTCGTGACTCCAAAAGTGGAATGATGGACCGAATGGAAATGCCCACGGAAATCCTGTTGACATGTGCTTCTCACCTTTGACTTACAGCTGATAAGTAGTAGGTGTATGCCAGGCTCAACAGTGACGTTTACGAGAATATGTGCCTAGATGTGAAACGCGATAACAAAAATACCTGACGAGTGATTTCAAGCTTGTGTTGCGAATGGCAGTAGTTTTTCCGCCCACCGGCACGTTGTCCAAAAACAGGTGGCCTTAGAAATTTCGGAATGTTCCACATTTTGATGGCGTTTTGAACTGAGCTAGCCATCGTGAGGACATTTTGATGCAGTTCACGGATATGCCCTTTTAAGACACAAAACGCTCTGCTTCCTGAGTTACACGCCTGCAAAGTACGAAAAGGGTTATTTACAGCCAAATTCAAAATCACCTTCTGATAAATGACGCCATAGAAACGTCATGAGATCGCCATGATATTAGAGGTTGTTTTAAGTTTATGGTCAAAACAGCATAGCCGCTGATACATTCGCAAAGACGATGATGCACCACATGTGGTACGGACCGCGGAAGATGATTGGCTGTCAGTAAGATTTTACTGCTGAATGCGTGTCACGAACACAAGCGTGAGCAATTTCGGTTGTGCGACAATCGTCGTGAACGGGTCATTTTTCCATAGTGCTAAGCCATAGATCAATGCTATAAAAACGCCACTGTCTGCAAAAAAGTACGGCCCTCAAAAATGGGCACTCTCCCGAAGCTATAAAAAAGAAGACGCGACGGCAGATCTGTCTTTTTTCTCCTGCTGGTGATTGTTCTCTTATTCTGCTAACTTATCTCCTACAGACAGCTCGTTTGGCGCCTTGTGTACCGGAGCACAGAACCTTGCACGGTTTTATGGGTTAGCAAGACATTATGAAATTAGGGAAGCATTACAGTTATTCTATATATATATATATATATATATATATATATATATAGTTTATCTAAGTATTTAACACATATGGTACCACAAATATAGATCTTCAACAACAAGTTGTGTTGCACAAGAAGAAGCTCTTGAGCCGGATTATCATGAACACCCGTTGAGATGTTGTTTCGATGTGAGGTCATGGTGAAGCCCGGTGTTGTGACTGAAGATTTGTGCGGAAATAGTGACAAAACCTGCAATTTGATAGTCCTGCGAGCTGTGCGAATGTGAGATCACACATATTTGACAAAAGAGTGTGAATCGGGGGCTCGAAATCCGTGTGATCACTTGTGGTGTGTGCCAGTGCCTTGTATTGGTATTGATGTGATTGGGAGTGTGCGTGCGATGTTTGTTCTTCTGAGAGAGAGAGCATGGGTTTGGTATTCTTCAGCCTGTTGACTTCCAATAAAATATGATATATTGATGCCTGATATATTGATGCCAATTAATATTGATGCATGCCTCTACCTTTATGTTTGTGTTTCAACACGACAAAGGAATGTTATCAAACTGAGAGAAATACTAGCACTTTTATTGCAGGGGTGTACAAAGGCAAGTACTAGTACTGGTACTTCATTACGTTCCAACGCAACTTCTTAGTTCTGATCAAATTCCCGGATACGAAATTTGAGCCAAGGTGTTTCAACTCATGAATATATCCCTGTTTCGTGCATCAGGATCAGAGCCATACCCAACAAAATTCAGTCACGAACAAATTTGAGCCAGTTATTGGTAATTTGTGTTTTGAATCATTATTAAACTTTGAAGTCATGAATCACAACGAATTGTAATCAGACAGGACAACGCGAGCGAGACAGCTTACGAAAGAGCGAGAGCGAGAGCAAGAGCGAGAGCGAGAGCGAGAGCGAGAGCGAGAACAGGCACAAGAGGGAGAGCACGAGCAAGAGCAAGAGTAAGAGCGAGAGCGAGAGCGAGAGCGAGAGCGAGAGCGAGAGCGAGTGAGAGATAAAGAGAGAGTGAGAGAAAGAGAGAGGGAGAGAGAGAGAGAGAGAGAGAGGGTTAGGTTTGTCCTGAGTTTGTGTCAGCACGAATGCTGGCGTGTGGAGGTGACACTTTGACTTCCATAAACTTATAGCAATGCCACACTAACGGATTGCGCCGACATTAGAGGCACCCATTGAAAACAAGCTTCTATAGTTGGTGGAGGTGGCGACATGCAAGCGACAAGGCAAGGATGCTGAGTGATGAACTAATATAAAGTTGTGTTGGAATAGTCTTTGTCAAGTCTATCACATAGCAGCTTATAAGTTATCAATAACCGGTAAAAAAATATTTAACGATGCCAAAGGACTGTCTACGGCAAGAATGTCTCTACATCACAATGGTTATATCAGGGTTGACTATTAATTGCATGAGCAATCCTAAGCAAAAAAAAAACAAATTATGGGTATCCCAATGTTACCATGTTTACCATAGCAACAGCAGTGCTTTGTTAATCAATGCATGGCAAGGTTACAAATTTATTAGTTTTCGCAAGACACCACACTTCCAGTTACAAGATATAAGGACAATGTTACAGATTTATTAATTTTGGCACGACACCCCATTTCAAGTTCCAAGCAATAAGGACAGGTGACAACAGTACCTATCACATGATATCAGTGTCAGGACTAAAGCAGTGCACGCAACGATGGGTCGCCGATAAAGTATTGTCCAAATAACCAACAGCAAAGCAGCAACAGCAGCAGCACAGCATATCGTGCTTTGATTTTAATAATCTGCCATAGAAGCTGGCAAACGCTACGTTGGGCATGTCGGACAGTCCACGAAAGCTTTTCTTACGGCCATCACCAAGACAAAAAATTCACAAATAACCCACCCACCAGTCCGTCCCCCGACGCAGCAGCCGCGACGAGAAAGGCCGGTTGGCGTCAGCTTTCGTGTGTTTCTAGGTATTCTTTAGGTCTGGCTGCCACATGCCTCATCAGGGTTCCTTCATTTCCAGCTTTCAACCAGAAACAAAACATCTGTCAGCCCAGTTAGCTCTACACCCAAACCTTACACAGAACCTCCACCTGGCAACGTGACATTTACATTTTTATAAGTTATTCCGCGTAACTGTGTGAGATGGTAGGGGATAGTAGATCTCATACATATAGTTTGGCAATGATTGCGCATCTCTACATTAGCGTCAAATGTAAAATCCAAGAATGACCATTGACAAAACAATGCATTACGGAGTGTTCCAACGCAACTTCTTAGTTCTTGTCAAATACCCCGATACGTGACATCCACTTTCGTTCGAGCCAAGGTGTTTCAACACATTATTATATCCCTGTTTCGTGCATCAGGATCAGAATCAGGCCCAACAAAATTCTACTACGAATCAAATTTAGCCAGTTACTGGTAATTTGTGTTTGAATCATTATTCAACTTTGAAATGTCTTGAATCACAACGAATTGTTATCAGACAGGACAGCGCGAGCGAGACAGCTTAGGAAAGAGCGAGAGCGAGAGCAAGAGCGAGAGCGAGAGCGAGAACAGGAACAAGAGGAAGAACAAGAGCACGAGCAAGAGCAAGAGTAAGACCAAGAGGGAGAGGGAGAGCGAGTTAGAGAGAAAAAAAAGAGGGAGGAAGAGAGAGAGAGAGGAAGAGAGAGAGAGAGAGAGAGAGAGAGAGAGAGAGAGAGAGAGAGAGAGAGAGAGAGAGAGAGAGAGGAGAGAGAGAGAGAGAGAGAGAGAGAGAGAGATAGAGAAGAGAGAGAGAGAGAGAGAGAGAGAGAGAGAGAGAGAGAGAGAGAGAGAGAGAGAGAGAGAGAGAGAGAGGTTAGGTTTGGCCTGAGTTTGTGTCAGCACGAATGCTGACGTGTGGAGGTGACACTTTGTCTTCCACAAACTTATAGCAATGCCACACTAACGGATTACGCCGACATTAGTGGCACCCATTGAAAACAAGCTTCTATAGTTGGTGGAGGTGGCGGCATGCAAGCGACAAGGCAAGGATGCTGAGTGATGAACTAATATAAGGTGACTGTGGCTGTTTGCTATGACGCATTCATTTAGTAATTTTCCGTTCGAATAACTGACTGAATGCTCACATCAGTTGGGATAAATTGACACGAATTGCGCACTTCAGAAGATTAGGGTCTGTATATACGAGATGTAGTTTTTTAACACCCGTTTACTTGAACAGAAACTTCAGGAAAACTTCCCATGGGCATGCACAGTGACAGGAACAATGATGTTCTGACTTGTTTGATCTCATATGGGAGTAAATCTCAATGTTTTTGAGTTGCAGTCCTGCCCAAATCAAATCGACGAAGTTAAAATTGCGGCTCGTCACTATGTTGCGCCCCTCTGTTTTTAGGATTTACTACCCGTAGACGGTAAAGAGCTTTGGGACAGATCACACCATTTTAGTTCTGTTCTGACTTCCATTTGATATTAGTTCTAACTAGGTAAGTCCCACTTGGAACCCTCAGCCACGTCTCTCATTTTTAGATCTCATAGCCAGTTGGCAGGTTTCGTTACGTTTTGGCGACAGCTGAAATTGCTGAAATCAGCGCCATTTCCAGCGGTATTGAGCGGTTATACGCGAAGGCACGTAAGTCAGCTTGTCTTTTGCCTTGCAAACGTATATAAGTCCATCCAGCCATGTATGACAATGACACTTCTCTCATGCAACGTCATTTG